TTGCCCTTGCCAGTAAAAACGAAGAGAGTCTGTGAGGTATTTTACATACAATCCGTTGCATAGTGAAACGAAAAAGCACACACCGCCGAACAATCGCCGTTACTTTCGATTGGGGAGTGGGTTTCGTTTCATTTCTTGTTAAGATATGAGCTTAAGTGTTGCCGTTTGGCAAAATCCAAGCACAAGTACGACCATTTTCTGAAGAGAGTAAGAGCGAGCACAGAACAATTCCTAGCTTTATTTGTAATATTCATATTTGCGAGTGCAGTGAATGGGAAGTCAGCAGTTGCTTTTTACTTGAACCAATGATCTCAACGAGAGTTCGTTGCATAAAAGTCGAATTAAAGCATAAACAATTTTTCATTGATGCTTTTAATTCGAATTCATAGTGTCTCAACAATGTACGTACCGAAGATATTCAATTTTCCTTAGATTTTCCCGTCATTATTTTGTCATTAACGCTAAGATTGTGGAACATTGTTATCTCAATCAGATGCACACTTTTTTTCTGTTTTTGTCGCGCGAGCTGAAAAGTCGTCGTCCCATTACAGCGAAAACTTGTGTCGTACAAGTGCATTGAATAGAAATGGCGAATAATTGTTCAAGTTTTCTCTGAATGCAGCAAGCAAAATGTGTGTGTTGTCTTCCCTGACCTTATTTACTCCTGAAATATTCAATCCGATATTATTATTTTTTCTCTTCACTGAAGAAGAAGAGTCTTCAGTTAACCATCGAGCGAAAACATTAAGCAACACAGTAAAAAGTGGTTTGTGTTCAGCGGAGACGAAAAATAGAAACAGGATTTCCGATACGGAACAAAACACTTTTCTCTCTGTCTCTTCGTTCTCTGCATTAAAATGAACAATGGCAATGGCAGTGTCTGTTGAAAGTGAACTGCTAACGGGAGGAAATTAGCATGCACAATCAGTTCGCTCCTCTTGAAAATGTTAAACGAAAATTAAATTGCAGACAAAAAACACACGGGGCACAAATAAACAAATAATGTCTCTGGCAACATGCGGCACAGAGTAAAAAAACTGGCTTAAATTAGAAAAACTTTGCAAACAACGACGGAGAGCGAGCGAACGGAACGGAAGAGAGAGAGAGAAAAAAAGAACGTTGTGAAAAAGTATTCAACAGTATATTGTAGTTAGTTTTCTAATAGCCCGAACTAAATAAAATGAAACACAAATGGAATGTTGTTGTGGAAATGCCATGAAACTTATAATTGCATTTCGCTTTCGTTTTCGTTTTTCCACCGATTTGAATACGAATCGATTCTGTCGAAGAACGTACCGTGGCCAGAGCCCGTCAGAGTTAGAGATAGAGAGAGAGAGAGAGAGAACGAACAAAAATACGTCAGCAAATCGACATGATTCAAGGAATAAAAAACAAGAACCATTTAGTTGACATACATGTGTGTAAACGGCAGAGTGTTTCCTTTTGACTTGATTTTATTTTAATACAAATTGACTGTTCCAATTGTTCCAGGTATATAGTGGTTCAGTGTATCGAATTTGTTGGTAGCAAAGAAAAAAAAAACATAGTTGTCGAGGTCGAAACTTGACTTACAAAGCCATTTATTAGAGCGCTTTCAATCGCCACGAATGATGGGGTGGGTGAAGGTTTTTCGGTTACGGTTTTGGTTTTTCCAACAAATCAAAGTTTGTTGTTATCAACAAATTTTGCTGTATGCGGTACAAATGCTGGCTTTAATTTCCGAATGACAAAGAGTAGCGCAAAATGTTTGTGGTGGCGCTCAGTTTAATAACTAAATTTCACCTGTATTTTATCCGGGCAGCCGTTTGCTCTCTCTCTCTCTCTCTCTCTCTCTCTCTGTGCTGAAAGAGCTTTGCGGCTTTTATTTGTCGAAATCAAAGAGCTCAAACGTTTTCTATCTCTTTCGATCGGTCTTTTTCTCTTTTCCTCCCTCTCTTTCTGCCTCTCTCTCTTCCTGGCTCAAAAGCGAATACTTGGTCTGCAGCAGAGATTGATGTGCCGGTGCCAGTGCAAGTCGATTGAATTCAAACAACAGACCTACCTGATAAACATCAATTCCCCGAAATGAACTTTGAAAACGGAGGAAAATAGAATCGAAACCGAAAACCAATGGAATTGTTTTGTGCGACACACACCGAGTCTTTGTGAATGAAGCTCAAAAGTTTTCTAACCACCGCACGAAAAGTTTTGCAAGTCATTGAAAATGAGGTTTATTCGTAAATAGTAATTAAATGGGATTGAAATGCCATAAAAGGAATGTCAAGCAAGTGACCTTAAATTGGTGCGATTGAATGGCACACAATCAACAATCAAAATGTCACACAAGACACTCCGAATGGCCTGGTCCAACTTCGTTCATCTCTCGGCCCCGATGCAAATATACATTGACACCGCACATTACCTTTCACACAGTTAACGGGACGATCTATTTCAAACCAGATTGTTCTTACAAATAACGACGGTGTAATAATTTGCACACAAATTACGACACAATATCACGCACAAATTAGATGTTTTGTTGTCATTCATTCGGTTCTTTCTTTGAATGTTGTGGGCATGTTTGCCGCTGCGGAATTTTTTTTGCCATTGTTGTGGTTTCGACCGACGATATCATCATGTCTCTCTCTCTCTTGCAAGCGAACACCTTTCTCTGTGACATCACTTGATGCCATTATTTTGCAAGAGCGGCCGAAAGGGAACAATTGAATAATGAATGATGCTCTGGATGGGTTACATGCTAATTTTATTCACTTCTTTGATGCCATGCGCACTTTGTCTTCCTCTTCTTTGGCGCTCGTTCCATTTCGTGTCAATCTTAATCAGCTGGGTGTAGAGGTGAGTGTGGACGCCGAAGCACACAATTCACGCGCTCCAAACTGAACGCACTTAGAAAATGGCTCTTAGAATATTTATGCTCGTTTTTATCGCATCTAATGCCCATTAATTTATTGTTGCCCCGTTGCTGCCGCCGGCGAAGATAAAATGATGAATACGTAACGGCTTCACTCTCGCATTCGATTCTAATTGTTATCATTACGATACAGAATAATTTTTGAGCATTATCCGTTAAAATTAGCCGAGCGATACTTGTGCGTTGATTCGCGCGCCAGCATGCACGCATCAATAGCAGCGCGAATCAGTGTTCCATTCTTGCTTTCGCTTGAGCATTAAAATTGCTTTACGTGGAAATGAGTTATACATATTTTATCCAGAATTACATATTTTGTTTAGAATGTTTTAATAAAGAATTTCTCCGAAATTAATTCGAAGAGGGTGTGCATTTCCAAGTGAGATATCCAATAACAGAAGATTATTTATACTCACAACATGAATGAATTATTATTGTTACTTGTGTTGTGTGTAGGAAGAGAGAGAAAGAGAGAAGAAAATAGTTATTAAAAATAATTATAATTCTCACCACAAATAACATACATGCGCCCACTCGCAATGACGTTTTCTGATCAAAAGTACGCACTTCGATGAAAATAACTCCAGTTTTCAGAGGAGACGGAACAGTAATCGCTGACGGAAGTAATTAAGTATTCAACACTTCATCCATATTTTATAGAAAACAAATCGGCTCGAAAAAATCGATAGAATGCTGAAAACTTTCGAACGAAGAAAGCCGTTATGATGGTGTTGTTCTTATTTTTGTTTTTCTTGAAGGAAATATTCTCCCATTTTCTCTGCGTATTCCCGTTATGTATGCGTTCTACTGAAGCGAAACAGTAATTTCATCAATTTGAATAAACGAGCTTACAGATTACGGAAATGAAATCAAACGTGCATGCTTTTTTTCAGCATGAAATTTCATGCATATGACGCGACTGATTTCGTCAAGAGGTAGAGAAATCGTCTAACAACTCAAATTCATATGCTAAAAGCGATATGCTTCCAAAAGCATAGCTTTATGTAATAACATGGAAGTTAGCGGTTTTTATCCGTTTTTCCGAAAGAATTTCATCTCTTCTGGCATTTCATCGCGTTTGTTGATCTCGAAAGTTTTTGTCCGCCGCACAAAACCCGAAACTTAGAATAATTCATCTATGAAATAAATCGCATAACAAGAAAATTGAACATTGATGTAATTTCCATTTAATTTCGATGGAATTTAGTTGAAGCTAGCGTTTGAATATTTTTAGGCATACATATTCATCGGGGCGACCAGTAACGATTGAGCTGGCACGACAGCGCGTCGAATCAACACTACTTCAAAATTCAAAATAATCAGTTCGGCTGGAAAAGTTTCCCTGAATCATAGTCGTCATATATGTGTGTTTTTCTGTGTTCACAAAAAAAAAACCAAAATGATCTGCTCTCTTCGTGTTATGCTCAATTCAAGCAGTGCAGATATAAGAAGAGAGACAAAAACGAAACGAAGCAAAGAGGAATTGTTGCCGCCCGTCAGTTTTTGAAATGTGTAGATTTTCGCACAATGCAGCACAAATCATGACAATGATAAATGATGAAGTGCAATGTGTATGTGCACGTTCGTTCGTTATAGTTTTCTGACACGCAATCAAACTGGTTTTTAATTTGGAGTTTCATCATTTAACGCTACAGTGTTTTTTTCTCTTCTTGTTCTGCACAGCAATGGTGTATAGTTAGTTGTTCATTGTTGGTGCTCTTGTTCTCGTTCTTATTCTTTTGTGCACCAAATCGTCTCCTTTATATCTATATAGCTATTCTATGTAATAAGAAATTCATTTATTTCATTCGCTCGATTCGAAATCGTGCACCAGATGCTTCAATGATTTTTGTATTTTTAATGGCAAGCCATTTCAATGAGAAAAAACAACAACAACAGCCAATTGTATTTTATATGATTTTTTCTTCGCTCTTATTTATTTGTGTTATAAAGATACATTTTTTTCTCATGTGTTTTTTTTTCTTCTTTGCAACCGGCAATTAATATTTCCTATCAATTGTCTTTTTTTTTGTTCCTGTTCGGTTCTTTACAACGCAAACGATAATTGAGTCATTATTCGACGAGAGCGATTTTATGTTTTCGGTATTTTCTCGATGGCATCAAGAACGAACTGAAATCCATGGGCAGCCGTTTGAAAGATGTAACTGTTGGCCAACTCCGAAATAGTCGATGATGTTGATGTTGATGATGGCAATGGCTCCGGATCGTCAGCCATCGAACGTGCCCCACCCAAATAAGATGTATAATCATAATCGCCGACGACTGGATTAACTTTCGAGTAATAAATCGCAGCAAACGTGGAATAAATCATCAAACCGGCCGTAAAAAGCTGAAATAAGAACCCCAGAAAGCAAATGAATATTAAATCTATATGATTTTTTTTTTATATGGAACAATTGAGTGAAGGAGAAAAATGTTTTTTGTTGATTTTTATTCGAAATCGCAATTCGAATCGAAATAACAATTGTTGATTGCAAATATAAAGCTCTATGTATTTTATTTGAATGTTGAGTATACCTGGAATCCAGCCCAAAATTTATACGATCCTTCCGTAATAATAAAATCATAATAGCCTTTTAATGGATCACCTTTGATATACCGGCCTTCGGCGACATCCGTTGAACTAACCTCTAAAAAAAAAGCGAGCAGAACGAGCATTGTATGAGAAGAAAAAACACGCACAATCAATCGAACAAAAAATTAATAACACTAAAAAAACGAAAGCACTGAATTTTTATTGTCCGGCAATAAATCTCGGCTTGAAAAGGACTGAAAGCAATCAATGCGCTTTGATTTTTGTCAATCGCCTTTGTTTGCGATATAGTTTGTTGTTTGGGTGTGTGTGCCTGTGCGTGCGTGCGCGAGAGACGAGACGAGATGTGAAGCCGAACGCGCGAGAGACTTACCGCTTTTGTCGTCGTTGCTATCGACATCATTTGTTGGCCTATCATTCGATTTATCGGTGATTGTTGATTGCTTTTGTTCGAATTCTGTCGACACTTTATTCCAAACATCGCTGGCCGTCTCGATCAGCGTCAGCACCTTTTGCAGCCCATTTAAACCGTACGCCTGTTGTTCGTCTTGTTGTTTCTCTTTGATTTTGTCAACGCGAGCCACCGCTTCTTCATAGTCCTCCAGTCCTTGTTCGTATCTAAAACGTGTTTTGTGTTGTTTGTGTTTCGGAACGAGCAGAAGAAAAAAGGAAAAGAAAGAAAGAGAAAAAAAATGTACAAACATTTATTATTTTCATTTTTTTTTGTCGTCGTCGTCTTGCCGAGGGAAACAATAACGAGATGCGACTGCAAGGGAGGAAAAAACGAATAAGTCAAATCAATGATGTAGTCAACTCATCTTTATATATAGTATACGAGCTGAACAACGATGGGAAAAACACAAGGATAAACGTTGGTTCGTTTGGTTCGAACGAACGACCGAAAAAAAAACAACAACCAGAAGAACGAAAAAAGCACACGACATTCGCCGGTCCAGCAAGCAGTAGCAGCAGTTCCACCGAACTGGGAGTATTCAATTGAAAGAGATTATCAGAGATGAACATTTCTTATTGTTCAATTTACTTGTCCGGGAATGTGTTTTTCTGTGTGCTTACTCTTCGCCGCCGCCACCGCCACCGCCATCGCCTCTGTGTCTCTCTCTCTCTCGCTTGTTCTTCATCGCTCTCATTGAATTGAAATAACAATACACAGCAATCATCTCGACAACAGCACAAACAAATAATAATGTTGAATTGCTTCGGCCGAAGAGAAGGTCGAAATAATATGAAAATAAATCGTGGCAACGACCATCGCCACTGAAATCGAAAATCTTCCGACCATTTTAGTCCGCACCTCTCCTTCCTTCGAATCGAATCGGCCAGGCCATAAAAAAAGGTACCGACAACAATAAGAATGGTCACAAATTCTGAAGCAATTTACTAGTTATTTGGTTTGTGTTCAATTTTCAATTGGCATTTATAGGCTTTTCGGGTCATTTTATTTCGATTTTCTCTTGGTTCTCGATTCGCTCATCGATTTTATTTTCTTTTTCTCTCTCTCTCTTTCTCGGTGGAAGAAAAAATTTCAATCAGAAATCATCGAAATTGTCAAACGAACACAAAATGATCCAAAGAGAATATTGTTTTTGTCGACGGTTTATGACCAGTTGTAAACATCAAAAGTGGAGCGGAGTGTGAGAATGAGCGATTTCATTCGTTAGCAATTTATTATTATGATTCGGCCATTTAGAGCTCATGCGAAGTTTATCGTAATAATAAATTCATTGCACAAAATCGTGACGCGTGTTTTATTCGTGTGTGTGTTTCATCTGTTTGGCTGGAAATGCGCTGACGACGGGAGACTATAAACCGGTGTATGTTTGCTTGCGAGCGAGCGAGCGAGCGAGAGAGAGAGAGATAGAGAGATAGAGAGAAGAGCGCTTAAAATTTGGCTGCTGCGATTTTTCGGAAGGAAAATTGTTTTAGTGGAAAAACCGAGAAATCGCGCACAGCTTTTCAACGCATCGCACGTTTCTTTATCCAATTTGGGATGATTTGTTTGTTTCTCCGTGCTGCTTATTTGTACACGTTCGCTTTTGATTCATCTTTCGTTTGTGCCAGCGCGCGTCTACTCGCGTGTATGAGTGTGAGTGGATTTTTCAAATCTTCGTTTGTTCATTCCATGGATAGATTTTTGTGATTGTAAAGTGGAAACGATTCGGAAATGAGTCGACCGAAAAGTAGCAAAACAATGTGATGATAACAATGAAACGTTTCGTTTTTTTCCCTTTAAATGAGACCGAAATCGAGAGAGCGAGCGGAAAAGATTCAAAAGGCAGAGTAATCAAAGAGAGTGAGAGAGATACACAGTGGGGGCGCATATAACATCCCGAATGATAAACTAGTTGATTAACTGTCGCTGAGTTTGTTCAGGTCGCTGCACCAGAACAAACATAATTTAATGATGTCTGATGCGCGCACACGAGAGCATTTTTCACAAAGCATTGTGTGTTAACAAATTGCAAAATTGCTGTTGCTGCTGCTATTCCAACTCAAAGGTCTTTCGTATCAGACCGAGTGAATGGCTGTGTACGCAATGCTATTTCTGCCTTTATTTGTTTTTGACACGCGTTTACCAAAAATCGACCTATTTCTGTTTGTACCATCCGATCTGACGATAATATCGGGATATGAATTCGGTGACTGTGAGAAGAGTTCGCGTTTTGCATGCGTAATGTGTGAGTGCACCGGCATATTTGAACGTGTATTCGAATTTGATTTGGTTGTGAAAACTATTCAGACGTGATGCCGTGCAAATTCAATTTCAATCCATCCACGCAAACACATTTTCCATTGAAAAGTGATATCCATACAAAACGCGGGCGTTCGACATGAATAGCAACCGCAGCAGTAGTAGCACAATTCGTACAGTATCATCATTATTTAGGGATTTCGTTTGTTTGACCGTTTGCATGTGAAGCGATTTCTGCGATCACACACAAACCGAAGCGATTCAAAAGTGATACGCTTTATTTATAAATCGTGGACTAACAGCGACTTATTGACATTTTCGACGAAATGGTGATTATTTCAATAAGGTCATAAACACCGATTCACATGATGAGTCCACGTTGTCGAGACGAAGGTACTTAAACGTGCAAGAGAGTGATAGGAATCGTGTCGGATACCACAACTTGAAATGTCTGGAGATTTCAACCGAAAATAGTTTTTTTGTGTGTGCCGCATCAAACACGAAACCGAATTTACGCGCTACTTTTCGATGTTATTCCACGCCATGCTCAATAATTCAACAGAAACTACACTATTTTCGGATGGTGGTATATTCACATAAAATTCTAGTCGCTTCGATCGGCCAATATTTTGGAGTAATTAGCTTGAAATGTTGGTAAGTTAAAACATGGATATCATTTCAACATCTAAACTCGGAGCGGGAATACCACTGACGACGATCACAATAAAGAGGCTCACCATATGGGAATTTGGTCGACGTGCAACGAACGACGTATGCAATGTCAGTCTGTAATTGCTGTCAAACAACAATTAAGCAAACCCATTCACATAAAAAACCATTTAAAATATGTAAATCGAGATGGTGTGCAAGGTAACACCGGATGGTTTTTTTTTACCGAAGCTCCCCGGCTTAGATTTATGGTTAAATACAGTCAAATATTATTCTAAATAATTATTATTTATGTAACAAATATATTATCGTGTGTGTACGTGCGCTGCTCATGTGTACAAAATGTAAATAATTTTCACTTTGCACGTGGGCTTAAGAGACAAAATGCGGGGACGACGAGTGGCAGAACGACGGAGCCGGAGCACAAGAGAAAGCGGGAGTAAGAGAGCGCGGAAAGAGGAAATGATGCATGGGATGAGAGCCGTGGGTGAGGGAATTACGCATTATACGATTACAACCCATCTAAATCAACATCATATTAAATATATTACTTCCGGGCTAAAATTGGCATTATCAGCATCATGATGGCGTGTATGTGTGTGTGTGAGTGTTTGTGAGAGTTTTGCTAAAGTCGTCTAAAGCCATCGTTTGAGGTTGTGACAAACGTCACCATATTCGCCCAGATAAACAGCGCACCGCACACAAAGACGATGGTAATTTCAAAAGAATGTTCACATTTCGAACCGCAATTAAATGTTGAAATTTCATTTAAAATTTTCACCATTGCACACACGCTCGGCTAAATGTAAACACATATTCTTGGCGTGCATGCGACAGATGAAGTGGCACAAGAGCGGGGTGGCCCAAAAATCGGCTGTTTTACATACACAAGTCTGATGCAGATTCAACTTTGCAGAGTGAATGAGATAGGCAATGTTTACTCGGATTGGTAGTGGCGTTAACATGTAGGATTACCAAACGGAGTAGCTTTCTATTGCTGCTGCTTTATTTGCCTGCAACCGTTAATGTGTTTTCCACTCTCGCTTGTCATTCGCGCGACAGCATTTTTCGCATCTTCTCCCTTATTGAGAGAGAGAAAAAAATGCCATTGCCGACGCGTGAACGCTTGTCTCTATTTGGATTTACAAGTGAATAGAATATATGCATGGTTTGAGTATGAGAAATATTCATGGTGATCCGTTAAATAGAAACCACCCACTAAAATAAACACTTGCCAAGTTGACATATGTTTTTCGATGTGGTTTTCCTCTCCATTCATTCCGTTCGCGCTGCTCTCATGACGATAGCGCGTGCACAAACACAGAGAGTGTTAATCCGTGGCTGTAAAACTCTTAAACTTTTCAATTTATGTTGCAAAACGATGTGCTGTGTGCAGTTTGTGAGTTGGCTTGGTGGATTTTTGATAGAAATAGAAATTCATATTTAAATAAATTGGTTCGATTTTGTGTCAAGCAAGTGCTTGTTGAACAGACAGTCATACACAGATACACAGATACACATCGAGAACGAGACAGAGAATTCGTGAACCGTTTTTACAATGATCCTCATCTTCATCCTCATCAAATAGCTGCAACGACGGAGCGAAAATCAAGAGCGGAATCGAAATGCACGTATAGCACTTGGTTAATAGATGTTTTCTCATGCATCAACTATCAAGTGGCAGAAAGCGAAAATGCAAGAAGAAGAAAAAAACGCCAAACCGTTCGAGCAAATTGAACTTTTCGACAATAACATTTCGTAAAATGGAAAATGCACTCGAAGTGGAAATGGCATGTTTGTGGCATAAACAACACACATTCACTAGCGCTCATTCGCACTCAGTCACTTGGATTGGTGTGTTTCCCGGGCGAAATCAAAAGGTTTTATAAATATCTCGAATGTGTGCAAGCACTCGCACGAGGATGGAAAGAGCGCTTATCGAATTCGTTTCATTTAGTGTTCTGCTGTTGGGAGCTCTTTGTGGATCTCGTTCGATGCATGTGACTGGTTCATTATGTGACATCACCATCACATGTGTTTCATTTTAACAAAATTATTCACAAAATACACCGAAATACACACAAAAGCACAGACACATGCATGCACGCCAAGCGGCAATAATACGATGTGTTCATTCATAGCACGGCGAAAAATGACGAAGAATAGAATGAGCGCGCATACAAATTGAAACATACACACTCTCATACACACGATGCGTTCAACATCAAACCCAACAGACATAACAGCAATGGCAACGGAAATGAATATTCGTACCAGAAATATTTAAGCATGCTTCGTTCTTCTCTGTCTCCCTTTTCTCTCGGTTGCAATGTGTTTGCACAAGCAAACGAATGAACTACGAACCTACGCTTAAGAAAATACAATCAAATGTTGTCGGAATTCAACGTTCGTTGATGCGACAAACGCTTTTTATAATCGCTATGAATCGGATGCATTCCATTTTATCGACACCACATCCATAGAAAAAGAGCAGAATGTCTGTTTGCTATCGTCATCGTCGTCGTCGTCGTCGTTGGCGACGGCAGTGGCTGTGACGTTGTTGCATCTCGTTTGTGTCATTCAAGTTGTCAGCATTATGTTTAGTTAAGTACTAAACAGCGATGCTTCTCGAGCTTTAAGTCAATATTATTATTATTTGATTCCGAAAAGGATGAAGACGATGATGATGAGGCAAATATCAACCAGAAAACACAGTCAAATGGTGACTAGACAATAATATATGTTGCTCGGGGCAACACTTCATTGAATACCAAACTAAAACCTTTCCATAAGAACGTTTTTTATCTTCTATTTGACTTTATTATTTTTCGGACGACATAACCCAAAAAAATAAGCATCGTTTTCTCTTACAACTGTATGCATTAGAATGCAGTGTGGATGCAAGAGGTAGTATGTCTAAAAAGCACTGTTATTTATATCGATTGAAGAAAATTCGGAATTTTATGGCGAATGCGCTCACAGTAAAAACCAATATATGATTTACTTTCGGATTTGCATGCGATAAATGTACTGCATGTGAATGTTAAATTTGGCTCTCATTCTCTCTCTAACTTTCTTTCGGCGATGCGAATGCTCCTGGCGGAGCTAAGCTCTTGCAAATCCGTAGATCGAGTTTGTGCAGTTTGTTATACAGCACAAATAGAATACGACGATAGTTTTTGTGTGTTTGAATCAGTGTGTATGTGTGTGCTGAGAAAGCGAACAAAAAGTTCCAACAATATGTACACAATCCGCTCGACGTCTTTGAAGACGAAGGGCATATGGACGAGTGTGTGTGTGAGAGAGAGAGAGAGAGAGAGTTGAATTTGGTGCAAACGTGCAAATGAAAATCAACACGTTCCGCATATATTGGGTACTTAAACTACTAGTTAAATGTTACCGTCTCCGGCATTTACTTCATTCAAATGCGTTTCGGATTTGAGGATGAAAAAGAAGTCGATGGAAAGAGAGAATGCTGAAGCTGAACGAACAGAAAAAAAAAACATCAATGAAAAGTTTTTTTTTTCCGTTTGCTTCGCTTACCGAACTTTGCGTAGACCATAAGTCAAATTCAAATCAAGAGCGAAAAATAGCGATAATGGCCCTTGCTTTTTTATAATGCTTTTCACTAGATCTCCACATCTCTCTCCTTCTTATTCTTCTTCTTCTGCCCAATTCATACACATTGCTACTGGCCAGACACACTCAACGAAATACCTTGCAGCGAAATATTCATTTCAAAAAATTCTTCATTCAGAAAATATGCACAACACGATTCCACCATATAACCGAGTGGAGAGAAAGCAGCAGCAGCATTTAGAACGATAAACCATAAGTCTTTGTTCGATTTATCAATAAACAAAGTTCGCAGTCGAGAGGATTCATGCTTGTTGATTTCCGATAAATTGAAAAAACAAATATAAAATATACCAACACACTCCATGCAAACGAAATTATTTCGCATAAACTCCAATTGCCATTGTTATTCTATCGAGAGTTTTGGAGTGTGAGTGAGTTTATTGCATTTTCAAGTATACTTACTTTCCGTTCAACTCTCACAGCGAATGAACGATTTTAGTTTAAGTTTTTTTCTCGATATTATTTTTAATTTCGGTGCGTGTTTCACATTACGAGTACCGTTTTTGGCCGGAAATTCTTTTTGATTTATAAAAATGACACAAATGAAACCATTTTCATTGCTATTTTCTAAATAAACCGATTCGAATTGTGAATTCCCGTTCTCTCGACCGAGAGTTTCAACCATATTTTCACAGAAACAAAAGCTTTTTTATAAATTCATTTGGTTTTTAAATGCGAATAATTCATAAGATATTTTTCATTAGCGGGTAGTGACAAATCAAATGTTGAGAAAAAGGAAGTCCACTTTCAAATTAAAAATGAAAAAAATGACAAAGAAAAACTCTCCGCCCGAACATAATGATCGAAATATCACAATGTTCTCATTTCTCATTGTTTTTGCATTTCATTCGGAATTAGTCATCATTTTGTAGAATTGAAATGGTTGGCACGTCTAATTTTAGCTCCAATAGTACCGTAGTTGTCATACTCAAAGGGCGATGGCAATGTGTCAAATCGGTGCAACATGAGACGCTTCTAAATTGGCCATATGAATGTAATACATTGATTGAAATGACATTTGATTTTATATATTTTTCCGTTTCTTTTATTGTTTTGCTCTTGTCTTCATCGAACCTTTTCGGATAACCTTTGCCTAACCTTGAATTTGCACACTCAGTAAAAAAAATACTGTCTCCTTATATTCCGAGAAAAATTCCGTATACTGTTGCCATTCACAATATAAAACACCATCTCGACATGACAACAGAAGGAGAAAAAAGAACGAAATCCGTATCTTAATGGAATACAATGATAAACTGATTCTTTTTTCTCTCTCTCGCTTCTCTGTCGTCGTTGAGATAAAGATTTAACGACATCATCGGCAAAACGTTGAAAAGTGATTGTTGAATGTGAAATATTTGTGCTAGCACAGTGTGTAATGTGTAGAGAAAAAAAAACACATCTTTCACTCACTCTCACATGGGTGTGCAATGATATTTTCCGATGGAATGGAATCAAAAAACGCATCAAACGTTGACATTTATCCTCGGTGTATCGTTTTGCATTGGCAATAGACGAAAAGAAGTACACATTGTGTCTGGCGATGGAGGAAAAGGGGAAAAGTTAAAACAAGGACGAACGACCGAAGAGACATTCCGAAATATTTTCATTTTAAATTGTAAATGTGCAGACACCACATAAAAATTAAATAAAGAATAATCTCTTGTAAGAAATAGCACACACACAGAGAGAAAGAGAGAGAGAGAGAGACACGGTTTGCTCGGATAAAAATGTGGAAAAAGAAGAGCGCAATTTGACTACGCGTACGAAGAAATGTCGTAGCAGCTTTCACCGATTACTTGAGTTTATGGCATTGTCATCCAAGAGGATTATTCTGGGACGTTTTTTTTGTGTGTGTCTCTTTTTGTTTTCTTTTTTTCCTTCTCTCTCTCTCCATCGGCAGTCAAAGAATATAGACAAGCAGCAGAAAAAAATTGATATCTTAAAAAATTGTGTAAAACAGACGAAAAAGCAGCGCCACCGAAAATTTCGGTCTCACTCAAGTAAAACGATTGTTTTTCACTTCGAGTGAAATTTGTGATGAGTTTACGAGTTGTGTGTAAGTAATCGCACTTTGCCAAGCGAATTGGTTGGGAATTTTTTGTTGTTGTTTTGGTATTTTTCTTTATTTAGCGCGAAACAATGTTGTAAAATGCGATAAGAATACATGGGAGGAACCGAACAAATACAAAAGAAGGAATGAAGAAGAAGAGAAAAAACACGACGACGACGACGATCAAGAAGATAATAATGGAAAGCGTCGAGCGAAAATAAATTAAAGAAAGTAAAATGATACAAAGCGCATTTAAATTAAATAATTTGGATAATACGCTTTTTTTCTCATTCGCTCTCTCTCTCTCTGTGTGTTTGTGTGTGTCTCTGTTTTCAGTATGGTGCACATCCACATAATCAGCATTTTTTAGCATTTTTTGTCTGGATGCTGAGAATGCGCGGTGCTCGCACGAGTAAATTTCGGTCGATGGCCACAACATTTGGTATTGTCCAAGTATAGTAGTCGAAGTCTATTATGCAAGTCAATTCCCTCGTTATTCTTTTTTATGGTACTTGTAGTCATCGGTGGGTCGGACTTGTAGTCATGCTTGGTTTGATCCAGTGCTATTTGCTAGGGCTAGCAACAGTCATATCTTTGATTCTTTTTTTTTCATTTTTGCTTTCCCAGTTTTGACGACGTAATATACAAACACCCTCTCCCCCATGACCCACACACACACTCATTCTTACACACAATTCGAATTATAATTTTATCTTTTCCACTCTCTCGCACAGCAGTGAGCGAGTGCAATGTGCCATCCGCTGTACCAAAAAATAAGATATAGCATAGCAAAATGGTTTTTGTGCGTAAAATAGAGTATGGGATGGGATGATTGTTGTGCATACCTGTTCGGTAATTTTGTGGTCTGAATCTTTGGCGTTGTCGCCACAAAATTATGCTCATCTAAATGTAAATATTTTCTCGAATTTTCCATTTCAAATGAATGCTGATCCGAATGATGGGACCGCTGTTCGTTCCGTTGTTGTTGGTGTAACTGGTGCAGTTGGTGTTCATTGTTTGAATTTTGTTGGTTGTCGTTATTCCAATCCCTCGATGGTGTCGACAATGAAGGTGATAATGTCATTATGCTATCGTTGCGATTGTTCTTTTCGAAATGGTTAAGGTTATTGCTTTTCTCTTCGTTAGTTAGTGCATTCGCTTGCATCTCGGTTGAATTATGCATGTTTGGTGATGCATTCGCTGCTGTGTGCCCGGGTGATATGGATGCCACAATGACTGTCGCTGCTGCTGGTGTTGTTGATGCGACGGTGGCCGTTGCTGTTGCTGTTGCCGTTGCTGTCGTTCCGGCTCCAAGTGTCACCAATAGAACAATCGTTGTACTTGTTGCATATAAATAAAATATCGCCGAAGCGCCAACGTTATTATTTAATGCCATCATTTCCAATTCACTGTTGTTACAATCTTTTCGTTCGGTTGCACTTCGATAGTTTTTTCACTCGATTCTCCAGCTATCTCTCTGTCTCTATGTGTGTCTCTCTGTCTTTCTGCTCGAGCTGCAGTGACTTTATTGTTCGGTTATAATTTAATTGCTTTAGCGATATGTCAACACCTCAACTTGTGCCACAGATAAATCGCGTCTCGTTCGGTTGCTTCTATATCCACCAAAAACCTAATGAACACAAAACAGAAAACTTTAATTTAGTGCGCCCGTGCAATTTTACCGTGCGCGATGGGAATTTCGGTAATTTTCTACAATATTCTCTATAGATGCGGTTAACGTATAGTTTCATTGAAACGGGTATGTGTGCTGCGTTTGTGTATGTATCTCGGTGTGATCGATGCCATTTATCACAACTGTTCTTCACTGTTCGTTATCTATATCTCATTCGATTGGGTTTTGCGCTCATCAACGAGCAGGCGAGCGTGCGCGCACAATGCTATTGATTCGGTGACTAATGAACGCTTACATTATTCCCTTTTCACAATATTTTCCAAGCCCGTTGTTTTTCACATCTTTTGTTTTTTTCGCTCGTTCTCCGTCTTTGTCTCTCTATCTCTCTCAAGCCAAACTCTGCTATTTTATTTTATTTGAAATTGAAAATAATTTTTCTGACTTTTACAAATGATATCATTTTGTCGATCGAAGAGAGAGAGAGAGAGAGAGAGAGAGAGAGAGAGAGAGAGAGAGCAAAAAATTGTGTGATCTTTGTTTGTGGGAAAAAACAAATTGCATGACTTCGTGCTGCGTCAGTTGAACAGCTCAGTGAGAATACAAAGACATCGACGGGTGAAACGCTTCGTTTTTTTCCCGTTACTTCTTTCATTTCGATTTGAGTTTGGTGACATGATGGAAACAGAACAAAAAAACACACAAACCAAAAGATTTGTACTTTTGAGTTGCAGCAAGCGAGAGCAAAGGGAAGTGTAGAATAAAATAAAAACGCAACGTTTCGGAAAAAATAAAAACTTTTGTGCAGAGAATAAAGTTCGTCGTTCAGTTTGCTGCTGAGAGTGAGTGAGTGAGAGTAAGAGACAATCTGAGCGTCAATTCGTTTTCATTGAATGAATTTTTCAAGCGGCGCGCCGTTCAAAGCATCTCCAATAAATTCAAACTTTTTCCTTGTTATGTAACAAACGTTCTGTGTCACTGCACATCGAGCAAACGAAAGAATTAAAGAAAACACAAACTCGCTCGAAATGCCCTCGACTTCTTTTGAATGAACCTTTTATCATTTTGGCAAATGGAATTAAATCAAATAGTTGGCAAAATGTACAAAACAACAGCGACAAAATGAAAATAAAACCCATTCGATTCACACAAAACACACATACACACCACATAAAATACGTTCTTTCTCGGAGAAAATGGTGAAAAATGACAAAGATGTTATATTTCTTTGTTCTTTTGCTGTTGTTACTGTGTTGAACCCACTGAAGAAAAAAAACTAGCAGATAAGCGATGAACAAAAACTTAAAAACACCATTTATTTAGTTCGTTATCGATGTGTGTTTATGTTTCGGGTGGGGAACGGAAAATTCAAGCTTGCTTGATTCACGCGCACCGTCAAAATTACAAATAATACTCTAATTTGATCGTTGGCTACGACGAAGCCACAAATACTGACTATATACTATACACGGTACAATGATAAACTTGCTAAAAAGCGAACCAAAGACACAACGTAAAATATCATTTCAATAATGTTCTCCCACTTTGACCAGCATCATTCACAAATCATTCATACACGCGCGCTAACACACGGCCAGTTGAACGGTAGTAAATAAACATTGAGCTATTGAGGCATTGGATCCTTAGCGACCAACTGTTTAGTGGTTAATTGTTTACTTTAAAACGGAACTCATTCGATTTCAGTGTGCCATGACACATAAAAGACCATGCCGTCGAAAGCGTATTATGTTGCGTCGTCGGAGTAGTTGGATACGAATTTTGGTCGCATCCGATCACAATCATTCAAATTAAATGTTTGCGCCATTACTATACATTGGGAGATAGGGCCTACGAATACGCCATGTGCTGGAAGTTCATTTGTTTATCGTGTTGATGGCCACATCGATCAAAATGACAAACAGTTTATTTCATCATGGGCCATTTGATCCACATCTTTAAGGATATGTATGTTTGCCGGAAATTTTATTCGCAAATATTTGGGCTGTGACACTATGTCAAGCACACACGCACATGCACACATACACCCGCATAAATCCAATACCACCAATGATATCGACATATTCAAATTTATGTATATTTACTACACTTCGATCAAATTCAAACTAAATAGGTCAGTGGACTGGCTGTCTCTCTATTTCTAGCCATTGTTGTTCGCACATGTATCCGAAAACAAACAGATCGATTCGCATTGCGTCCGAAATCAGTGCAGTTTTACTCATTCCAACGGTAAATTTTGTGAAGCCAAGCAAATTGATGATAGACACACACACACCGAGATAGAAAGACACGCATACTATTTCCAAATCCGTATTGTAAACTATTTCGTATCTGAACGCTGGCCGAACTGATTTTCTCAATAATCAACTCACATCGAAATATTTCTGGTGAACATGAACGACCAATTAGTACCTAGCCTAGAATCGGTCAATATCAAAATTCTTCAGTAACCTGATTAAATTATATACATCGTCGTGGTTGTCATCGTCGTCGTCGTTGCCATCGTCGTCGTAGTCGAGCGTGCATAACGGTATGTTAAATTAATATTTGCTTTTCACAGCATGCTCCGTTCCCTCAGCGTCACCTGCACCATTCAAAATAATGACAAGAATTTGATCAAGAACTTTTTCGAATACCGTACAATAAATTTTCGTTCGAGATACCGTAGCAATGAATTTTGATCGGAATTATGCAGGGGATTTGAATGAAATATGCAGATTATTTTACGCTCAATTTTTACTCTCTGGCGGATAACGTTGGCAAAGGATAGCCAGATTGAAACGCTTGAGCAACATTGGAAGGTTTGGTTTTTTCTTGTTCTTTTTGGCCAAAAATGTCGACATTGCTAATAAATTGCTTCAAAGTTATACACCGATGACCGGATCGAATGATGTTTCGAGAACAAATGTATTCAATTCGACGATGAGAATTTTGACGGAGACATTGCGAAGACTTTAGTTTGAAACATTGAACTTTTTGTTCTCAGCAAAATTCTGTCCAAATGTGACAATGGAATTGTTACGAAATGGATATTCGTTCGTTTCCAGTTTTGGTATTCGATCTGATGAAGCTTATTACTCCACTGGGTACAAAACAAACCAGTATAAGCCACGTGAAATCGGTCATCAACGATTATCGAAATACATTCTGTTCAAAAAGAATACAAAAATGCAGCTTTACCATTGTAGAGAGAAGGGGAGCAAAGGAACGAGAGAGAGAGAGAGAGAGAGAGAGAGAGAGAGAGAGAGAGAGAGTGAAACAGAGCGAGGGAGAGGACGAAATGGCTTTTGCTCCGTTAAAATCGCAACTTGTGACACAAACACATGAACAGTTGGTTTTTAAAATACAAGAATGTGTCATTGGTTCGAGGGCATATAATTTATTGATTGACTCATCATCGGCTCTAGTTTTAATGGAAACTTTTTGTTGCTGCTTCTTTTTGTTCCTTTCTCGGCTTTTTGGACCGGCTCAAATATAAAGCCGTATTCATCATTTCATTTCCTTCCGGACATTTTGGCCATTACCGGTGTTTCAACTAATCGAATAAAAGATTGAATGGTGCTTTGAGAGATAGCCGCGCGTCAAACATAGATTGATTGAGCAAATGGTTGAAAAATTTCCAGCATTTCACGTGAAATATCAGTAGGAATGATGTTTGACTTTTTTTCTTTTTTTCCTGCCATTGAATGATAGAACACCGATTTTTCTTCACTGATGACGCGCATACACACACACACACAATTACCGAAAGCAAAATCGACCGACTTTCACTCGCTCGCTAATTCTAGTTCTGAATTAGAACTTCTAATCTAAACATGGCTGGAACATTCGGAATTTGAACGAGATTTTCGATTCGAGGTCAATTCGAAATTGAATTAATCCAATTAATGTCATGCGTGTTACCTTTTTTTTTACCGATCATCGGTTTATTATTTATGAACGGGATTCAATCGTTTTCTGGGTTAACTGATTTGGAAAAATTCTTCAATTAGATGCCATCATCTGCAAGTAAACATTGTTTTCTCTGTTTGTATTTTTTCAGAAAGACGACTTATCAATTGTTGGTGTAGGAAGAAAATACCGTAACATTGTCTGTCACATTTCTTTTGATAAACCAATTTCTTCTGATAAGAATTCACGCACGCACATCATTTGCCATACGCACAAATTAGCAACGAATAATTTTAACCGACGCGTACAATTAGTATTTGACATACCGGAGAATTCGGTGAATTTGATGTGAAAATGGTAAACACTTTGAACACGTTTGGCAAATAAGTGGCTAAAATTGAACTGGCGACACTCATGGGTCGATTTCACAATATGGCGAAACAAAAGTACTAGCACGATTTAATTTCTTATTCAATTTCACATTGGTTTTGTGTACCTTATCTCAATCATACCGCCGACCGACCGTAGAAAAAAACGGTTAGATACCAGATTCTTGAGTTATTAATTCCCAGTGTAAACACAACGTGGTTAACATACGGAAGAAATGCGCGCGCATGAGAAATCGAAAATTTTCAAATGAATGAATGGATCTCGTTTGCTCCAATTCTAATTGCTAATGAATTTTTCGCTAAATTATTCTTCGATCTGTGTTCCTTCTGTGTGTGATGATTGATGTGTGCGCGCGTGCATGAATCAGCGTACGAGCTTCTGAAAATGGAAATGTTGATAATTAAACACACACCGGACTCCTCTGCCCATTAGACCGTTGATGGTCTGTCGTGTACAGCTCATTTTCCATGCTGAATAAATTATGTGGAAGAATAGCGTGTGCGATTTTGCTAATGAATCGATTTGAATTGAATTGAAATTTCAAACACATCACCCAGTTTGCAAGCCCTCCTGATCCGAATGCCCTGACAATTGAACGGTAGTGAAAAAACGTTTGTACGCTGTCACAAAACGGCAACGACAAAAAGTGTGCAGCACAGCGCACAATTTCAATTAACGGCGCACTTCAATCAGACGACTAAATCAAATGAGAGAATGTGTCGTCGTGATGGGGCTAGACTGGCAACTTTGTCATTGTGGGTCGATGCGATATGCTTCGCATCTGCATTTGCAAAAGACGACAAATGTTTAAATACTTCTTTTCTTGAAAAGTGACGTTTGCATTTGAACAACTTCATACTATTTGAAGCCAGCCGTGGAATCAAATTTTAATTGGATGAAACACTTTTCCAGTGAGTAGCAGCAACATTGTTGGAAACAAAATGACCAAACGAAACGGACAACAACAACGAAAAAAAAACGATTCTGATTCGTTATTATGCAGCGCACTTCCAAACGAAAGAACATGCTAATCAATTGTTGTGTCCGATTAGACACCGCATATTACCGTATACTGACCGATATTACTTATGGTGCTTGGTGTTTGTGTTTATTTTGAAGCTTTCAGCTATCGTATCGATGTGTTAATATCGTACGTGTTTGTTCTATTAAACCCGGCCTAGAGCGAGAAAGAGAGAGAGAGAGAGAGAGAGAAAGATTTATGTGTCGCAAAATGCACCACTTCGAAAATCATTCAGGTGGGAATTCTTTTAACAATACATCAAGCATTTTGGATTATCAATTGAATAATCATAAGCATCACTTGGTCGAGAAAGCATCGAGTTATCGTTGTCGTCGTTGATGCTTGGTTAAATTTCCTTCCAGTTTTGGACGCGCGCATAACGTACAAAAAACACCAAAACCGAACAATGTGCTCGTCATAATTCATTTAAGTTTCGAAACGATTGAAAGTGTTTTATTAGTTGAACGATTCTCTCTCTTGCCTTTTTCTCTACTTGTTCTTCTTTTGAGTCACTTAATTTTCCTCATCTGAATTTTCTGAAGAGTGTTACGTTTTTTTTTTTGGTTCTTGTAATTCGGTAACGAAGTGAATAATAGCAGTGAATAATAGTTAAAGAAACAGCAGAAAAAGTTTTTGAACTTTTTGCCGAAAAATCTTGAAAAGTTGCTGGCACAGACACACACGGAGCGTAGCAGTGCAGCACAGCAAAAATGATGATGAAGTGGCATATTTTCGCTGCCATTATTTTGATTCAATTAAAAACTTTTCACTGTAACACCATTGAATTCAGTTCGTACAGTAAAGTTGCAAAAAATGGCCAGCAACCTAATGAAGAACCACCAAAAAACACTGATAAACCGCCACAAATACATCGCGCACGCGAGGGTGTGATTAATAGTGATTTATGGTTTCCAAAAACGTAAATAATTTTTCTCTTTCGCCCGTTGGTTTGAACCATTCGATTCGACCGATGATGCTTTTGTTATCTTTTTTTTCGCTTTATTATACTGTGGTTTTTGTTCATTGGAATTTTGTATCATTTTTTTTTTCATCATGCAAATATAGATTCAACGACACTGTAGCAGATAAATCAACAGGCCGTTCGATTGATGAAAGGCGCCCGTTTCCATTTCCCCTAAAAAATCTCGTCTATTCTTCGTTCGATAAACCCCCAAATCATCGTTCCAATCATGAGCCACGTATCATTTATGCATCATCACCGGTTCAACGTACGAATAAGCTGATGAACTTAATTTAATCCATTGATATCGTTCTGTTTTGTCTCTTCCAATGGCTAAATATCTTTTGAACCATTTCAGAGGTGGCACAAGACCGTTTTGTGCCACATGAAACCGTCGAGCATTTTATCGAGAAAAACAATCGGAATCGCGTGAAATCATCGCCGGTCATTAAAGAATGTGAGTCTCAGTCTTCATTTGTTTCATTTCATGAAAATGTAGATGAAAATAATTTTCGTTTGAGAAAAAAAGAAAAAGAACCAGACGTCATTGAGAGAATCATGATTCTATTATTAAAATGATTATAATCATTATCATAATTATGATTCATTTGCACTGAGAATAGATCGAAATTCGAATAAATTCGAATGCTATTGAATTGAAATGTTTTTCTTTCCGATATTTATAGCTGATCGTGAAGATGACGGCCCACCTCAAAGTCAAGTAGACGCGCCGGCAAATGATTATCAGCCCCCACCACCGCATACATATGCTTTTCCACCCAATTCGCATGCACAATATCCACCTCCGAGCCCACAAAAACCAATATCAGTGTCATCATATCTACCACCACCGTCTGGTGGAGCAAATTACCCAATTTATCCCGGTCCTTTTGCGCCAACAGAAGCGGTCTCTTCTCTGCACACTCAAGCGGATAATTCTGGTTCGGTCGATAGCATGAGTGGCATAAATGATATGAACGATTTGAGCGATATGAATGGAGCGCCGCCCGGCAAAGACGATGGAAATACGGATAACGATAATCCAGACCGGCCATCAGACGACACAAAACTGATTGATAAACCTCCAGCAAATTTTATACCAAACAAAAAACCGGATTTTCCTTCGCTTTCATTTTTGGACCAGGATTTACATGACCACGACCATGGGCATGACCATCATCACTATGAGTATATACACGACCATTCGCCGCATGATCACCATTTCTACGACCATGACTCGTTTTCACCATATGACGATTCGCTGAAACATTTGCACGGATTTGATGCATTCCCCGGTAATTCCAGCGGATTTTAAGTACTTTCCGTTCATTGAACGGCAAAACATATGTGCATGCGTTCACAGTTCATTGAAATGGAAAATATGTTGATTGTGATAACATGTAACCACAGTGTAAAACCAATTAATTCTAATAATGTTTTAAAAAAAACACGACAATTGATTTACTGTAATTAAGTAATTTAATCTGGTTTTTTTTCAATATTAATCTCTTTAATTCATAATTAATCCATTTTAGAAGTCATAGTCGACGACCATCATCATCACCAATTTTTCGATGACCATCATCATCATCATGATTTGCCACCACCTCCTCCTCCGCCACCACCACCAACTACTCCACCACCACCGCCAGAAGAGCCAGAAGAGCCCGAAGAAACACCACGAGTTAAGAAATATTCCTATTTCTATTTGTCACGATCGCTTTGGTACATCCCACTGTACTTCACCGTTTGGTTTACGTTCTATGTTACCTGGCTCATTCTGCAAAGTATCGGACGACATAAGGTATGTTTGTGAATTTCTTGAAGTCGACAAAAACTGTGAAATAATTAATTGCATTTTTTCCATTAGGTTGATTTACCAAATCACTTGGTTAACCGGCGAAGTATCCGAGATTTATCGCACAAAGAAACTGTGGACAAAGTAAATATACTAACTGAATTCGTTATGTCACAAATTGATGATTTTAAGGAGAAATATTTGTAAATCATATTTAACTGGAAATAAAATGCAAAGCTTTTTTAAAACTAAATCATTTTCATTCGTTTCATTAGTTTTGGTTGGAAATTTTTTAAAATAGGAACGAAAAACGGATAGACTTTGAGTTGTAATGACGAAGTGCCAAAGAATTCCTACGAAAATGTGGTCAAGTCCATCATTATTCAAAAGAAGCGCTCAATTTTCAACACACACAAAATGTGAACAGCACCTTAAACTCCGCTCGTATTCACCACACCAACCGTTGACAGTTGCTTGTCATTTTGCCGAGCCAACTTCATGTCAATGTCTAATATTTATATTATTTTGTGCTTCGGGCAATGCTCGACAGATTTTGTTTTGTTATTTTAGTTTGTATGTCGCAAATCAAAGAGTGAAAAAAAAACATTGATTTGCTCTGCTAATTAGCGTGAATCCGATAGATTTTTGGGTTATTTTTAATCGGTGCAGTCGTCAAAATGCTGTACGACTGGCAAAAGTGGTGTCGACTGTGTGGAACAACCGAAGTGGAAAATACTGCGCTAAAAATTGAAGTGATTCCAAATCGGATATTTTTAATTCAAAAGCATTTTACGGTTTTGGTAAGTAAAAAATATCGATAAAATGACATTGAACTCGAATAAAGTTGTTTGTTTGTCGTTCAACAGTTGACGGAATTCGATTGTATATCGAATGTTTGTGCGAATTGTCATCAATTCATCGCAGAGTTCGAACGATTTTCCGAACGATGCTCAAAAGTGCATGCACTATTCAATAGTTTAATCTCATCCACCGATCTCGAAATCGATTCAAATTACTTGCAAACACTTCGATATGAAGCTGGACTTGACAGAGATGAGGTAAGTTAAATACATGTGAATGGTAATGTGGGTTTTTAATGAAAATTGTGTTGATATTTTGCAGAAACCTACGGAAGTTGACTATAAAACCACAGACCAATGCACTGACACAGACGATTTGGTTGTAGCTGAGTCTTCCGCTTCATTTGTTGTGAATGTTAAAACCGAACAAATGACGGTGAAACGAGTTAAGAGGGAACCTAGGACAAAGAAACGCACAAAAAAAAGCCGTAAACATGAAGACGATGAAGGTAACAATGGAGAACAATTTCTTCATCAAAAGCAGGAGCAAAAAAAACCCATTTAAATATGACTAATCCTTGATTTTTCCACTTTTTGTGTAAATAATGTGAATTTCAGACGAAATCAAAGAGGAAGAAATGGAGATCGATGCTTTCGATTACGATAACGATGACTTTGAGAACGATCCATCGTTTGCCATCACCAGTGACTTGGAAAACCGACAATTAGACGAGGACGAATTGGACGATTTGGTTGGCGATGGTGATGATGAGTATGGCTTGGATGAAATAAAAGACACACCACGAAAGAGACGACGGAAAGTTCAAGTACCTGATGATAAAACATACAAGTAAATTAAGATCCCATTTTCCATTTGAATATCCATTTCTGATCCAAAAATCAACCATTCTTTCTTTTACAGTTGCCCGTTATGCAGCATTGACTTCGAAAACAAACGCCTGTTCGACGGTCACATGCGTGAGACTCATCCGAAATCCGAGAATCCATTCAGCTGTTCAAAGTGCCCGAAACGATTCCAATCACTAACAAAATTGCAGCGACACGAGATCGTTCACTTGCCCGATGAACTGAAGCTGGTCCATCCCTGTCAATTCTGTGACAAACGTTTTAGCAAACTGGTCAATGTGCAGGCTCATATTCGAGCAATTCACACAGGTGATCGGCCATTCATTTGCGAAGAATGCGGCAAGAGTTTTGTGGCAAAAGGAGCGTTGAAAGAACATCAAATTACACACAGCGAAGAGTATCCATTCCAGTGCCAGCATTGCCCGAAGAAATTCAAAAATATGGCAAGATTGCGGACGCATGAAGACATCCACAAACATACCGCTTACATTTGCCCACACTGTGGTCTTCAGCTAAACACAAAACGTACGCTAAAAATGCATATGGTCGTCCATTCGGATCAGAAGAAATACAAATGCCAATACTGTGGCAACGAGTACAAACGATCGAAAGCACTGAAAGTGAGAACAAGAGGAGTGACAAATCGTCCACAGATTTGAATTCGAAAAATTGGCAACACAAAATTAATGGTTTTAACGATTTCATTTCAGAATCATCTAATTCTACATACAGGCCTACGACCGTATGTTTGTCCATTTTGCGAGAAAACATTTGCAAACGGATCGAACTGTAGAAGTCACAAGAAAAAGGCCCACCCTGTTGAACTGGCCGCTTTGGAAGCGTCCGGAGAAGTTTTGCCCGCAGCCAATATTCCCAAATTGGAACATTTACAACCTAAGTAAGATTCGTTATCAGCTTTTTCCACTTCGATTACGATTCAGTTTTTCGCTCTATACAAAAATTGATTAAAATATTCTTTCTTTCTTTCTTTCTATAGAAAACCAGCACCTGAGAACAATATAGTCATTATCACCCAAAACGACGACAAAATTATCGAAAGCATCGTATACACTTGAGTTCCGTCGAAGAGTCATCGAATCTAATACAACCTTTAACTGATAGTATCTAAATGTCTTCACGAAAAACAACAAAACATTCTTATATCGATAAATAAAACAAACCCTAGCTATAGCATAGAAATGGCACAACTGAATAGTGTTATGTTAAGGAAATGTTAAACTTGAGATAAAAAAATTAAAGTGCATGATTTTGGAAAATGAAACGAAAAAACTGGTTTTTGATTGAGTCATTTCGTTTGTTGCAACAAACCTTTGGTATTAAACGTTAGGATTACCAATTTGGTCAAAAAAAAACTTGGCCTGGTTTAAAAAATGAAAACAGAGATATCTGTTTGAGTTGTATGAAATTAAAAATTATGGTCTTAGAAAAAAAACTGTTGAAATTTGTCATCAAGTACTTTATCTATTATAAAATTATAACTAGATTTGTAATCTTCTAAACTATCATCGAAATCAACAAATCGGTCAAACTAAACGAGACATCGCGATTTTTTCTTGTTGGAGCTTCCGCAGATCTCGTCAATTTATATAGAATTGGCAGTACAAGTCGATTATATTCAATTCGTCGATGAAACACCGGTTCTTCGGTTTTTCCCATTAGAATCGGGTTAAAAATAGAATTCATAATTCGATTAGAATGTTATTGTTTTAATTCCCATCGTAGCGGAATGAAATTGATGGTCATTCGTTGAGTGTTTGTTATTAATGCGATTAAGATAATGTTTAGATCCAACGATAAAAAGAGATGGTGCAATTACTATCGCAAACTAAAGAGTGTCGTTGAAAAAAAAAATGTTAATTTCAATTTGGTTATGTACATTCCCACTTGGCAATTCGGAATAACTGGTACAAATGAGAAAATGATGAATTAAAAAAAACAAGCCACATTTCATCCCATAATAGGTCTTTCTATGTAATTCTCGCACAATCGTACGAAACAATCGCACAATTACATAAAATTACAAAACGAAAGTGGCTTGGAAAGCGGATAGAGACACACGAAGAATGCGAATAATGTTTGATTACGGCTACAAAGTAGCAAAATTACCATTGATTTGTAGCGCAGACCGCATTAGAAAAGAAAGAATCGTCGGCGAAACCGAATGAGCGAAGAAATTGGCGGTCATGCTCATTAAAAAGTTAGGCTTTTTGGCAATTGTATGAAGTTTTTGTTTTTGCTTCATGAAAACATCCATTCAAACAGTTAAAACTCTTTAAGAATTATACCGATTTCGCTTCTTAAAGAATTGTAATGCTTTTTGCTGGTGCATTTAGGCACCATCTCTCTCTCTCTCTCTCTCTCTCTCTCTTTCTCTCTCTCTCTCTCTCTCTCTCTGTTGTTATTCTCTGGGCCACGTATAATTGGGCGTTATTCGCCAATATAATAAGAGAAAAAGTATTTCCATGACGATATTTTTTTATTATTCGTTCTTTATGCGCTTAATAAATGACACCGATGAACTACAAACACAGAATTTTTTGTTGCGTTGTTTCCCTTTCCGAGGCATTATGGTTTAATGTGGATGGACTGTGCGTGTGCGTTTGCGTCACTGTTTTCTTCCAGTAGCGAAATTTTTGAGCGCCGAAACCAATTGTCTGAACTGAATATTTTCAGTTTTTATTCGACGGCGTGTGGAAAGTAGAAAGGTGACACCGAATGATTTAAATAGAACAAATAAATACTTAATAGTGTATAATATAATTCATGTGTGTGTGTGTGATTTGCAAACAGAGGCATTTTCATTTCACCGAATGATTATTAAACGACGGGGCGGCAATGATGAACGTCGACGACAATGCTCTGTTCGTTTTATGTGAGCTACATTGAGATTGAAATCAGATGTGTTTTTCTTTCGTGGTGAACGCGAAAGACATCGTTAGTTAATCGGGTCAGTTTTGTTTTCTAGCCCAAATCGCATCGAATTATGCTGCGACGAACGCGCTGCGGCAACAAGCAGAAAATTGATTTTTTTCTTTTCCAGCTTTGGAAACTGTTTTTTTCTTTGTGCGCAAAGAGAGAGAGAGGGAGTTGCCTTGCTTAGGAGATTAAATCTTCTGAATCGACTGACATTGTGTCGATTAGTTGGTTAAAACTCTCCCGTTAAAATTGAGAGAAAAAGAACAATCTTTTGCGATATTGGTCGGCGATAAGCGTAAATTGATTTTCCACTGAAACCGATAGAGACATTTGGTAAAGCGTTGATTTTTATCATAAATGAATGTTTTACACGTCTCAGATGATTGTGACTGTGCACCTCAGCTGAGTGTGGCTGTGTAAGGAACATTTGCATAAGACTTTCAGCGAGATCACATAGACACGAGGCACCCGATTCACGCTTGCACTCGCCGAATAACACATATATTTTTTGTTGTTTGTACTGCTCTGCACCCAACCCAATTAATGTCTCTGTGAACTAGTTTTTAATGTGCAAGTGCAAAAAACAACATACAACACACAAACCGTGCTCATTATGCACTTGGTGATACAACCTGAACATAATCGTGTTCATTCTAAAAAAAGATATAAACAAAGAGGGAGAGGGAAAGAGACAGAGTCAGACAGAAAAACAACACAGCATATAATCGCGCAATTTCGCCGCAAGTTTTTTTTCACCTTTTTCTTTGCCATGCTGCCTGCAACTCTATCATTACATCGTATTATCATTGCACGACAAAACGATTGCGCATAAGACGAAACCAAAACGAAACGAAAATATATAGGTATATCGTTTACTGTACTTTGTACTCGCGATGCCATTCTCTCTGTAATCGTTTTGCCATCCATGTAACTGCATTCTTTGTGAAGTCTCTCTCTCTCTCCCTCTCTCTCTCCCGTAATTTCATTACAAAACATAATGGTTCAATTTGGGCGTTTGAATCTCCTAGATTCGATGTGTTCTTCAATGGCAAAACAATATCTTAGAATGTTTTGCAAGCACTCGGTATTTGTATGGCGGCAATAACAAAATTGTGGACTGTTTGTTTTTCTTTCAGCAGAAATTTCGTGTCGTTTCATTTTAAAATGTTTAATTTCATAGCAGTTTTTTTTTGCAGAGTCTGGGCAAATGTCTTCTATTACATTGATTTGAATCGGTTTAGAATCGAAAAGCAGCATTTAACATTTTTAACCTGTTCCAGTGTAGCGAGCAATTACACTGCGCGCTCACATTCTAAATCGCGATCACGAGCCCATTTTCTTTATCAATGCACCAGATGAGTTTTATTTCTCTATTTATTTTCCTGGTGAATATTTGTTCGAATGAATTTTTCAATTATCCGCCTGAACTTTGGTAAATAAGTTATTTTTCACGATAAATGACTCAAAACGTATCGCAGCTTCGATTATTATCTAACTGGCGAATGCATTACGTGAAAAATGTCAGCATCATTAATGAGATCTCCAGGAGAACGTTTCCAAGAACCCAAAAAAATAGAAGAGAAGAGCAGAAAAGAAAAACATGGGCAAACTAACAACAATCGGAAATCAACGACTAGAACAATGCTGACCAGCTGCTGACGTTCTGCGGTGTAGTGAAATGGCTATTGAGTTTTAACTCGTGCCCATATTTGGCCATTCAATTGTATGCAAGATGTTACGTTCCATTTGCGTTTTTTGTTCGTCTAACGAGCCCAGAAAAAGTAAGAACGCCGAATTGTTCTTTTCGAGGAAAAATTCAATTTTCCGAAAATGCTCGCTTTTTGTTTGCATCTTTGAAATGGAGACAGAGATACAAAATTGGGAGAAGATTTTTCTTGCATTTAACTCGAGAGTCAAATATGAATTTTTTCTTAAACCAATCGAAATGAGTTCTTTGTCATTGAATCAACGCAAATTGATTTCGTTTCTATTTGGTTCACCTGTTTTGCATGTCAAATAGAGAGTTTACAACAAGAATAAACACTGACTTCGGTCCGTTCAAAATCTTACATATATATGTAAATCGGTTGAAGAGAGGGCGAAAGAGATAGAGCGATAGAGAGATATGGAGAGATAGAAAATAATACAATTGCTTGGACACAGCGAAAATTAAATACGAAAAAACAGCACCATCACAATCTGCATTAGCATTTTGGTACACACATCAGCGTCGCCGGTTTATATTAATAGCTGTATCCGATGCCGTTATCAAAGTCAATGAAGTGGAAATATGCATGCACATTGCACATAACACAGATTCGTTTGTCATTGACTTGTAAATTGCAAACGAAAATTGTGTTAAATATCCCCTCAAAGTTGTTGTTGTACTTTTCCGGAATTGTGCGCAAACAAAAGAAGTTTTGTTCCAACTTGACGTGTTCGAGTCGAACAGTTTGGCGTTATTTCCCTGCGGGAATGGCCCCAATGACATTTAATGCACTTTAAATATCCATCGAATTGTCTCTAACAATCATGTGTCAATTTCAATTGATTATAGCAAAAACCCGATGTCGTTTAAACAAAAGAGTTGGGAATCTCAAGCGGCACCAACATATTGGAGATTGTGCTCACTCCGTTGACATGCGCTAGTGAACGCATGCCAAATTGTTCTTGTTACTTTTTTTCTGTCGCTCTCTTTGTGTTCTGCGAAAGTCGTTACACGTGTAAGAAATTTAACATTTCGATTCTTTCGAACGCGCGCGCGTGTTTCACGTGATCACGAAGTAGGATTAAGTGAAGGATTTTAAAATCTCTTTTAGTTTTCTTCTTCAATTTATTGTCCGGTTCAATCTGTGTTACGTCAACATGTTTTTTGTTCAAAACAAAAAATCTAATAATATTGGATAAACACACACACAGTTGCACCAGATCACATAATACTATACTCATCTATTTCGATTGAGACTCAATGTATATCATATAGAACTAAACTTACTCATGTCAGCGAGCCTTCAAGGCTCAGATTTGGATCCAAAATTTACGTTGAAAATATAATCAATATGAGGTCAGTTCAAGAAATGTAACTGTATAATTTAGTAAGGCTACAAACTGTTCAATGATGTTCAAATATAATTGTTTATAACTCATAAATAATGTTGTTTCTATGCGACCGGTTCAGCTTACGTGGATACTGGATGGTCTAATAATTTCTTGTTGCCAACAAACTATTTTTATCCAATGAAATACGGACTCATTGCAATGAGGATTGCAATTGAACCGTTGCGACAAACAAATTCCCTCATAATGTTTTGGATTCAAACTGCAACATGATTTTTTTTTTATATAGAGTTTAC